CGAGAAATGAGCCCCAGCTGTTGGTCCTTCCAGCCCGGATCCCGGGGACAACGGGAGTTGTCAAGGACAGCGAGTTCCTTGCCCTGGCAGGGACGACCGGCTGTGACCGGCTGGAGTCCGGAGCCCAGGTCTGCAGAGGTGACCGCAGGGCTCAGAGCAGGCTGGGAGTGCGGACTCCGCTGCATCAGAGGCCGGTGTCTCCCAGCTGCCTGTACAGCAGTGAAGGAGGGAGGGCAGGGAGAGGTATTGTTCCCACCAGGCCCCACTGCACTTCCAGCCCCAACCAGAAGAACCAGCCCCGGGTTGAGGATGGCTCATTTGGAGGGTGATCTCATTTATCTGAACAACAGTCCCAGGAAGCGGGGAGGGTCTGGGAAGAGGTGCCCCATTGTGTGGACAGGGACACTGAGGCTCCAAGGAGCCGTGACTCAGCCTTTGTCTGGGTTGTGCTGGGAAGAGGAGAGGAGAGCCCCCACCTCCTGCCCTGCCCCAGGCTCTCAGGCAGGGGCCTTCTCTCCCTGCAGACTCTGGGGGCCCACCCCTACTGATGGGGTGAGTGGGGAGGGGTCACAGTGGGGGAGTGGTCAGAGATAGCCCTGGACTGTGCCCTTCTGCTGGGGAAGAAGTCCCTGTCCACAAAGTGGCTCGGGGGGGGGGGGCTCAGGAGGATGGGGGTCCCCAGGGGACGGTCCTGGGTCCAGAGAGTGGAAGCCCCACTCTTTCCAGGAATGCTTAGCCACACCTGGGCAGGTAGGGCCACAGGAAGGAGTGACTGGGGGCTGAGACCTGTGGTCCCCTTGGGGACCCTTGGGGATGGTGTGGGGAATTTTGGTGGCTGGAATTTTTTGTCCAGGCACCCTGAGCCAACCCAGGCTGCTGGGGACGTGTGCCTGTGGCTGGACTGGGGAACCCAGCTGTGGAACTCCACAGTTCATCCACATCCACCCATCGCCCTGCACGAAATATTTCACTCCCATCAGTGAGGTCTGTAACCGCCCTCAGCGCGGCCTTACCCACTCTCATGTGATGGACACACACACCTGATTTCCGGGCCCAGGGCCAGCCGGAGCCAGACCCTGTGACTCTTCCTCTGCCACGCCCACACCCTGACAGTGTGAGCCAACAGAGCCTTCTGCACGGAGACCATGTGGCGGTAACACTCTGTCCAGGACACGGCGTCACTCTGTGCTTCCGCACTGGGCCTGGGCGCAAGGAGGAGACACATGCCCTGGCCTGGAGGGACCCTGGAGGACCCCAGTTTAGAGGTGGTGGGGCTGACAATACTCCTGCTGTCCTTATGCAGGGTGGGTGGGAGGTTGAGGAGAACAGAGGGACTGTGACCGAGCTCCATCTGGTTCCGCTGAGGGTTCCCCTGAGGGAACAGTTTCCCCTGAGGGCCCCTTGGTTGTGCAGACCAGTGTGATGGGCTGTGATAGCCCCCACCTTTGGAAGGGGGGCATGAAACACAGGGGGAGTTGACAGGACCACCTGCCATCTGGCACTCAGATTCACCCCGATCCTGGGGCCGATCGTGGGGCCAGAGCCCGGACTGGGGACACTTGTTCACTCCCAGGGAGACTCCCCCTCCCTGCGGGCCCCCTGAACCCCATCATAGCCTGGCCACACAGTACTGGGGTTGTCCATAAGCATGCCCTGAGGGCCTCTCTGCTTGGTTCTTTGTATCTGAGTGTCCAGCCCAGATCTGGCTCCTGCTTGCCGCTCTGTCCTGGCTCATCGGGGATCTTCTCTTTCTTCACCCTGCTCTGAAGCCCCATGGGCTGGGGGCCCTGCAGCAGCCCCCTCTCTCCCCTCAGTCTCCTTAGGGCCTCCCCCGCTTTCCTTCTTCCCCCCAGGCTGCCTCCTGCTTCCCAGCCTGGCTGGTCAGCAGAATTCCCCCGGAGCTTGTAAATGTCCCCACGATTAGGCTTGTCCTGGGCAATGCTGAAACAGTGGGTCAGAGCAGGTCGGGAATCGGTATGGGGATCCTGGTGATCAGTCAGGTTGGGGAATCACTGCGAGCTGAGGCATGCCAGTAATAGTTCCCAGCCAACTCAGGTATGAGATGACCTCACACCGGAGATGGGGAGGGTGAAGGAGAGAGGAAAGAGGCCCGGGTGGGGGAAAGAACCCACAGCCCGGAGGGCTGCCAGTTTGGTGGACACCCTGTGCCCGCAGACCTAGTGATCCTGGCTCTCAGCAACCCTGGGCAGGCTTGCCTCTCTGGCATGGAATAAATGCTCCCTGCTCCTTCTCTGTCGGCTCAGATCTTCTAAGGCCCAGCCGGAGCCTCTCCTGATTACTCCTTCCTTTTCTGCTGAGCCTCAGGGTCTCCCTCCTTTCCTGTTGACCCTCAGGGTCAGGGAACCCTTATCCAGCTGTGTTCCGTGGGCCAAGCACACTGGGGTTTCCTGCCACACAGTGCTCTATTCCTGGCCTCAGCTTTCTCTCCAGGGGTCACATGGTGGGTTCCAAGGTCAGAGACTGTGTCATCATCTTCCCCGCCCCCCATGCCCTGGGTGCCAGGCACACGGTGGGTGCTGGGTCTGCGGTGTTGTCTGAGTGGTTTGATGGGTTGGTTGGCAACTTCCTGTAGCTTCTGAGCCCACGTGGATCCCCAGCCATCAGTGCTGGGCCTGTGGGTAATGCCACCCAGACTCCAGGAGTGGTGGAAGGGGCAGGGCTCCAGTCGGAAGGGAGGGAGGTGGAGAGCGTGCTGAGGCAGAGAGGGAGGAGCTCCCAGAGACCCCGGGGATAGTCCGTGTGAACCTCAGGAACCGTGCTGGAGCCAGGTTCAAGTTGCTGCTCCCATTTCTGTGCTATTTAACCCGGGACAAGTCTTTCACTCTCTCTGCTTGGGGCTTGGTGGCCTTTGGTGGCCTCAAAGGTCATTTTTTGTTCTGAGGGTGATGAGTCTGTGGTTGGACCTGAACTCCAGGTCTTGACACCTGGGATGGCAGGGGTTTTGTCCAAGCTTCTAGGACCCATTTGGCCCATTTTGGGGGTTGGGAGAGGGGAGTATCAAGTTCTGTCTCCCAAACCTGGCCCTGGAAGTTTGTGTTGGACACCAGCTCTGCTCAGACCGCTGGGCCCTGTTCCTACAAGTTGAGTGACTGACAGGGTGCAATGTGCTGAGCCAATTTCCTGTCCCTCGGTTCCCGTAGTATCACCCAGCAGTGCCCAGGCTGAGGCAAGCCCACAGAGGCACTTGAGAGCAAGGACAGTGGGTAGTTCTGTGGGTCACCCCCCAGAGCACCCTGAGAATGCTTCTGTTTTGGGATTTAGATCCTCCCTCCCCCAATCCTGCCTCCAGCCTTCAGGCCAAGGTCATGCCTACCATGGGCAGAGCTCCCTCCAGGCACTGTGGGGAGGTAAATGAGAATGGACATACCTGGTCCCAGCCTGCATGGCATCATGGGCAAGTGGAGACACCCTGAGCCCGGGGTTCTTAAAGCCGAATTACTTTGGGCGAATCACCCCCTCCCTCTGGTTCTCCCTCTCTCCTCCCCACTTCACAGGGTTAATTCAAGACAATCATGCATACTGGCGACACAGAGAGAGAGGTGGCTCAGGATGGTGGGAAGGCCCCGGCTGAACAAGCAGACAGGCAGGGGTCCAAACCTCAGCTCCCCCTTGACTGGGGTCTTGGGAAGCCCCCTTAACCTCCCAGCTGCCTCATCTATGAATCTGTGGCAGGAATATTGCCCCTCATGGAATTGTGTGGTACACACAGAGCACTCCAGACAACACCCCAGCGTGGTATACAATACCCCTCTTGTCCACTGAACGACCAGCCTGGAATCTGTGGATCCTCAAAAGAAAACTCTTGGGAACGGACCCCTGGATCCAGTGTGGGAACTCGGGGGTCCCTGGTGGGGTCAGGGGTCACACATGGCACTACTGGCAGGGTGGGGACTCCCTCCCACCGCAGTTTATGGTGGGCATCCATGATTAAGTAGGGCAATGCATTGGGGATGGACCGCTCAAAATGTGGGAGTATTAGTGTACAGAGGAGAGGGCAGGGTTGTGGGAGGGAGGTGCCAGAGTGCAGAGGTGGGTGTGAGGAGGCAGGAGGGGACAGCTGGCTGCAAAGGAAGGATGGGGAACCGGGGGGCAGGGCCACGGCTGGGGAGTTGCCAGTGTGGTCCTGTGTGCATGTTCTTCTGTAGTGTGTCCTCCCCTTTTACAGATGAGAAAACTGAGGCCCAGGACTGACTGCCTATGCTGCATGGCTTGTAAGGGGCAGAGTGGGACACTCAGTGGTACATGCTGGGTCCATGGTACCCAACACTTCTGAGGACCCTGGGGGCTCAAAGGCAGCCTCTGAAACTGGGATTGGATCCAATAAGGGAGAGTTGGAGAAGTTTTAGAACGAGAAAGGACTCCGAGATCACCCAGTCCAGCCTTTGTCACTTCGCTGAGGGGAAACTGAGGCCCAGAGAGGGGAGGCAAGGGGTCTCAGGCCACAGAGCGCAAAAAGTGGAGTAAAACGACAACCCCAGCTCTCCTGCCCAGCGCCGGGCACGTAGGACCCCACAGCACAGCCCGAGACAGCCCCGGGCTGGCATGATTGCTGGGGCCTTTTGCCGCCAAGGCTGTCCCGTGGGGCAGGGAGTCTGTCATGGGCTGACTCACTGCCTGGGGACGCGGCCGCCACAGACTGCCTGTGCCAAGGCCCCACTGGCCCCTGAGGCTCCAGGAACCGAGAGCCGGGTTCTCGCCGCCCAGCCTGAGTCATGACAGACTCGGCATTTGTGTGTTTTTCTCTCGGCCCCACACCCCCAGAGCTGGGTGGGAACTCAAGTGGCACCCAGCGAAGTGAGTCGACCCCGGGCTGAATAATCCTGATCCAGAGCGGGGAGTTGGACGGGACCTGGAGTGACGAAATCCGCAGGGGAGCCCGCAAGTCAGCAGTTGGGAGGCCCCGCCTGCCCCAGTGCCTATAAAAGGTTCCTGGGGTTTGAGCAGCCCCAGCATCCTCCCAGCCTTCCTGAGCACCTTTCTCTCCTCTCTGCCGACTCGCTCGCTCACTCACTCACTCACTCACTCGCCTCCCTTCTCTACCATGACCACCTGCAGCCGCCAGTTCACCTCCTCCAGCTCCATGAAGGGCTCCTGTGGCATCGGTGGTGGCTCCAGCCGCATGTCCTCTGTCCTGGCCGGAGGGTCCTGCCGGGCCCCCAGCGCCTACGGGGGCCTGTCGGTCTCCACCTCCCGATACTCCTCCGGGGGGGCCTGCGGCCTGGGGGGCGGCTATGGCGGCGGCTTCAGCAGCAGCAGCAGCTTCGGGGGGGGCCTGGGTAGCGGCTTTGGTGGAGGATACGGTGGTGGCCTCGGTGCTGGCTTTGGCGGTGGCTTCGGCGGTGGCTTCGGCGGTGGCTTCGGCGGTGGCTTCGGCGGTGGCGATGGCAGCCTTCTCTCCGGCAATGAGAAGCTTACCATGCAGAACCTCAATGACCGCCTGGCCTCCTACCTGGACAAGGTGCGCGCCCTGGAGGAGGCCAACACCGACCTGGAGGTGAAGATCCGTGACTGGTACCAGAGGCAGCGGCCCAGTGAGGCCAAGGACTACAGCCCCTACTTCAAGACCATCGAGGAGCTGCGGAACAAGGTGTGTGGGCCTGGTGGGTGGCGCAGGTGGGCAGAGCATTGAGAGAGGTCATAGCTGCAGTGGCCCTTAGAAAACCACTTTCTAGCATCTTTATTTTACAAACAGGGAGACTGAGCCCACCTTGGGGGAGAGGCCACACAGGCCCCTCAGAATTGGTGGCAGAGGGTCCCTTTTCAGCATCGAGGTATCTGAGCTGGGACCGGAGCCCTGACTCTCTTATTCCCTGCAGGTGTGCATTGCACCCTCAGCTTCTCTCAGCCTGGGATGGAGGATGGGGTGGCAGGAGACCGGGGGGCATCCCTTCACACACCCTGAGCTGGGTGGAAAAGACACCCAGGCTGGCCGGAGGGCCTGACCTGCCAGCTAGGCGACCCTCCAGTTTGGGGATCTACCTTTCTCCCCTTTCTGCTCTTCCCCCCTGAGCAACGGAGTCTTGGCTAACAGGCCTGTCCTTCCACCCTCTCTGTAGATCATTGCCGCCACCATCGAGAACGCTCAGCCCATCCTGCAGATCGACAATGCCAGGCTGGCAGCTGATGACTTCAGGACCAAGTGAGCAACCACCGTGGCGGGCTGCGTGTGGGGCAGAGGGCAGGAGGCAAGCAGTGGGACCGTTGGTCCTGAGCCTCAGAAGCCTCCCAGATGGAGCCTGATGCCCTGACCTCTGTCCTGCCAGGTATGAGCATGAGCTGACCCTGCGCCAGAGTGTGGAGGCCGACATCAATGGCCTGCGCCGGGTGCTGGACGAGCTGACCCTGGCCAGGACCGACCTGGAGATGCAGATCGAGGGCCTGAAGGAGGAGCTGGCCTACCTGAAGAAGAACCATGAGGAAGTGAGGCCCTGCTGACCACTGGCTGCGGGAGGCTGGTTCAGGAACCAGGAAAGGGGTCAGCTGAGCTGACCACCTCCCGCCATCCCTTCCTAGGAAATGCTTGCCCTGCGGGGTCAGACTGGCGGGGACGTCAGTGTGGAGATGGACGCCGCCCCTGGCGTGGACCTGAGCCGCATCCTGTCTGAGATGCGCGACCAGTACGAGCAGATGGCGGAGAAGAACCGCAGAGACGCGGAGGCCTGGTTCCTGAGCAAGGTGGGGCTCAGGTCCTCAGCCCTCCTGCAGGACTGCCCAGCAAGGGAGCACCTCTGGAGCATCTCACACCTGCTCTTCATTCTTCTCGCAGACCGAGGAACTGAACAAAGAAGTGGCCTCTAACAGCAAGTTGGTGCAGAGTGGCCGCAGTGAGGTGACCGAGCTCCGGAGGGTGCTCCAGGGCCTGGAGATTGAACTGCAGTCCCAGCTCAGCATGGTATGAAGGACCCCACCCAGCCCCAGTCCCCAAGTCCCCAGTAAGGGCCACCAGGCCCTTAACACTGCCACAAGACAGTTCTGCCTCTCTTATTCCAGGAGTGGAACTGGAGGGATCATTATATCCATTATATAGACACAGAAATTAAGGCCCAGAACAATGGAATACCTTTCCTCCACATTGTCTGGCCCATCAGTAGCCCAGCTGGAGTCACAATCCATGTACCTCTTAGGAAACATGCCCAGAGGCCTGGGGGGACAAGAGTGACCACCTCTGTTGACTCTCTTTCTCCCGCTCACAGAAAGCATCCCTGGAGAGCAGCCTGGAGGAGACCAAGGGCCGCTACTGCATGCAGCTGGCCCAGATCCAGGACCTGATCGGCAACGTGGAGGAGCAGCTGGCCCAGCTGCGCTGCGAGATGGAGCAGCAGAGCCAAGAGTACCAGATCCTGCTGGACGTGAAGACGCGGCTGGAGCAGGAGATCGCCACCTACCGCCGCCTGCTGGAGGGCGAGGACGCCCAGTGGGTGCCCAGCCCCCTCCGCCCCCCTCCAGCCCCTCTGCGCTCCCAGCACATCTAACCACTCTACCTTTTCTCCCCATAGCCTCTCCTCCCAGCAAGCGTCCGGCCATTCCTATTCTTCCCACAATGGTAAGGCTCCTGAGGGTCCTGGGTGCCCCAGAGACCCCAGCCCTCCCTGTGTGGGGCCTCTTAGCTCCCAATGCCTTTCTCACCCCCTCCCCTCTCTCCCACAGTCTTCTCCTCTTCCTCCTCCTCCTCCGGCCACCAGACCCGGCCCATCCTCAAGGAGCAGGGCTCATCCAGCTTCAACCAGGGCCAGAGCTCCAAGCCCTGAGCTGCCTCTTCCAGAGCCTCCTGCCCACCTGCCGGCCCCAACCTCCTGAAGGCCTGGGCCAGGGCCCTGTTCTCCCAGCGCGGTTTCCAGCTGTCTCCCCTTCCCCTCCGCTGGTGGTGGGCTAATAAAGCTGACTTTCTGGTTGATGCAAACCTGTGCGGTCTCTGTTCTTGAACTAATGGGAGGGGGTTGAAAGTGTACCCCAGGGACCTCCTGGGACCTCAGAGCCAGAGGGGTCCAGGAAACAGCAAAGCTCAGAAGCCCTGGTAGGGTCTTCCTAGAAGAACCCTCTACTAGCAAGGGTGTGGGAGGTGGGACACAGGATGGGAAGGAGCTTCCCTGTATTGACAGCCACCCTGGGAAGTGGGTATGGTCAGGCCTGTTTTGGAATGGAGACAACCCTGCCATTCAGAGGTTGAGTAACTTGGAAAAAGTCATGCAAGATAGTAAGAGGTGTGACTGTGCTTCACACTGGGTCTGTCTGGTTACGAAGGCCATGGTTTTAGGTATTTTAACCCAAAGACTCCAAAGCTTGAGCTCTTAACTCTACTCTTTGGCTTCTCACACTTGCCCAGCAAGTTGTGCGTTGGATGGTGGGAGAGAGAGCCTTCTGCCTTGGGGATGGGGTCCATGGTTAGAACTGAATTTTGTTCTCCCGACCTGCTCCTCCGCATCACCCCTTATCAGCCCCTTCTTTCTCATCTCCCTCAGGCAGGGACCTGAGGGCTGACGAGTCCCCTAGGAAACACCTGTCACTCATGCCCTCCTCTTCGTCCCCACGTGACCCCACGCCCACATTCAGACCGGCTTCCTCTCTCCCAAGAACTAGGCACGGCCCCCTAAGCAGGGCCCTTGCTGTCCATTCTCTCTCACTCCCATTTCTGCTTGATGGCCTTTCTAGCAAGAATATGGTCAAGATCAAGAAGGACGTTGATCAGGTCCTCTGTTTAACCACCTGTGACTTTCCCTTTCCCCTCCAATGCTCGACCCTCTGTCTCAACTCGCTTTGGTGCTTTCCTGCCCTGCTGTGCTCTGCACCCAGTAGTCAACCATCCTTTCCCACACCTCTTGCTTGCTATGGGTACCTTCTATATTTAAAAGAATTAATTAACAAAATCGTCTTTTTGTGGAAAAGAGCCATCCCCAGGCTGTGTCACCTGCCTCTCTTCCCACCTCCCACTTTCAACTCTTAGCTGTTACTTTTGGCATTTGCCTTATTTCTAAATTACAGGCTTATACAACCATTTCTTGATTGTTTTTTTTTTCAATTTTAGTTTTTTAAAAAGATATTATTTATTTATTTATTTTGAGGGCAGGGGTTGGGGGGTGGGAGAGGCAGAGGGAGAGGGAGAGAGAGAATCTTGAACAAACTCCATGCTGAGCCTGGAGCCTGACACGGGGATTAATCCCATGACCCCAGGATCGTGACCTGAGCTGAAACCAAGAGTCAGACACTCAACCAACTGAGCCACCCAGGTGCCCCTCAATTTTAGTTTTTGATTGCTTGACTTCCTGCTGTGAAGGAGGGGAATTCAGCTCTCTTATACAACATTGTCCCTCCCTATTTCTTCCTACCCTCTCAATATATCCATATTTCATTAGAGAAATGTTTAATTTTACATTGCCATGATTAACTATTCTTTACAGTCAAAAATATTTTATATTGTATTACATTTCTTTGGAATAAATATCTTTTTCAGTTTGCTGAGGTTTTCTATGTCCTTAACCTAAGTGTATTCCCTAGTTCACTGTACAGAAGTATAGGTCTCCTCCTAGTATGTCAAAACACTGAGTGTTCCACCAGTTTTATCTTCTTGAAGATATTTCTCCTGGAGCCCACTGTCCTGCTCCAGCATGTTCTGGGTGCTCTTTGTACCTCCCGCCATCCTGGAATCTTCCTTCACTGTCCTCTTGAACATCCCTTCTTTCTGTGTTGCTTCCCTCTTTCTAGCTCCCATGTCTCCCTTCTTCTTTTCATCCCACTTCATTTTAGTGAAACACATCCTCTGGCAATTTCCTGAGACAGGATGCGTAGACTTTTCATGTCTGAAAAC